AAAACAACAAAGTGTGGCATTCTGGGAGGATTTGTTCTTTTTTACTAGTTACCAGTGGCATCAAAAGCAACTAATTTTTGGAGGGTTTAACTACAAAAGACAAGTGTTTTATAAAAGTATGTGAATGCAGGTTACAGTAAAGGAGGCTTTATACAGTTTTCATGACTTGTTTTATATCATCATGAAATAGCCATCATCGCCGATTTCCCATGATAGGTCGATGACATCTGTCTGATGACTTGTTTTATATCATCATGAAATAGCCATCATTGCCGATTTCCCATGATAGGTTGATGACATCTTTCTGATGATTTGTTTGATATCAGTTTACAATAGGGGTCACCACTGATTTTCTACAACAGGTTTCTTATGAAATGTTGGAGTTGATGTATTTTCGTATCGTATACTGTAGTTTTCATTACCCAGAAATATGGAATTTTTGTGAATTTAACATTAGACATTAAAAGTTTTCATTCAATCTTAATTCACATTTTTTTTTATATACTTTACTGAAGCTTCCCTTTTCTCTCATGGCACAAATTGAAGTAAAGTTCCCAAAACAGAAACTTGTATGTTGAATACAAACTAGAATGAGCTGAAATATCACTTAACTACATCACTAACCACTTAATGTCCCTAGAAGTTTAAATGAACACAAATAATTACAAACATAAAAATCAGTTGATAAACTAGTACATGTAAGTAATGTCATGCTAACTGATGTGAAACTAAGAATCTATAAGAAAAACTAACTTATTTACAAATTAAACAGCTTAAGTGAGCTGTTTGAATTATTGAACTGAAGAGGAACTCGAAAGGCTAAATTATATTGAATTTCATTATATGTCAGAACTTTGATCTGCCCAAAAACACAGACAGACTTGAACCAAAATGTGTATTTTCAAAAACTTTTCATTCATGGTTTTACAGATATGACTCCAATTCTAATTTTACTAAGTGTATCTACACAAAATGTGGAAACTTTCAGTAAAATGTACAAGCTTGTTGTGCATAGAAAATCAAATGTGTCACAAAAAAGTGTATTCAAGTTACGTCTGTGAATTGATGACATCAGTCTGACAAGTTGGTGTGCAAGGTGAAGAAGAAAACTACTTTTGTCAATTCTATAGTTTGTACATTGCATTTATCTCCAAGATTCACATCTACATTTTTTTTTTAGTATCCTTGTATAATGTATCTGGTATTTACTCTACTGTGAACTTTGATAAATTAGCAACGTAGGGTAAAATGAAAAGTTAACAACTCTGACATGAAATATACAATACTACATTGAATGACACGCTGTAAAAATTCATAGCATGTCCACTTTAACCCCCACCTGCATATACTGGGTCAAATCCAAATCCTGGTCAGTTTTTTTGTAAATCTTTTACCCTACAGAGAATATTCATTATCCTGATTTATATATTATTATTTTTAACTCGTGTTTCATAATTACTAGAATACCAACAAAGTCAAATTATATGCTTGCTGTAACTTAAGTTAAATAATAAAAATATTGCACCACAAGATTTAAAATTACAATAAAAATTCATTACATTTCTATACACCAGGACAGAAAATAAATCCTTCTGCCTAGTATGTTTGTTTATTGTTAAGCACAAAGCTACATAATAGGCTATCTGTGCTCTGCTCACCATGAGTATCAAAACCTAACTTTTAGCATTATAAGCCCTCCGACTTACTGCTGAACAACTGGGGTGCTACCTAGTATGAAAAAAAACGGCTATTAAATCAACATTAATCTGTATACACAATCTTTTCACTACAAAATTAAGTTATGTGAGTAAATTTTATTTTTTAATTTTAGTTAAATTGAAATAAAAAATGAGTATTAGTAGTGACTGATGCTTAGCCATTTAATTAATGGAAATCAACTGTCAATTCAAAATTTAACCCTTCTATTTCAAATTTTCAGGACATCGGCCAGTCTATGGTGCTTAGTTCACTTTAAATAAGAAGAGTCAAGTTATGTTATCCTCAAAATTCTAAAAACTATATAACCAGGGTTTGGTTTATTTTAAAATTTGGAAAACCTGCTTTACTTGCTTCATTTGATAATCTAATAATGAGTGAATTACTAAAAGGTACCATTTATTAAATAGGTTCCACTGAACTGAAGTTTCAATCAACACTGGCTTTAAGCCTATTAATAAGCATCTCTGATATTCATCCTACAAGTGGCATATTTTATTGAATATAAAAAGAAACAAATGCACTAAAACTTTTTACCCCAAAGTTTTCTGTTTGAATGACAATCTATTTAGCAGGTTTGTTAAGCCTACTCTTCAGAATTCTAGAACATTCTAAGGATCAACAGAACACTGAACATGCTCCCATACAACAGTTAAGATTATGTTTTAAACTATAGTGTGAGGAAATTTCTCATTACACTAAATAATTATGACATTATTTAAACCTTGAAAGTTAAAATTTGGCATGGAACATAAACTTTGACAGCATTTTGTTTCAAAAATACAATTTGCTTTAATAATTACTACTTCCTTCATGTCTTCAACGATACAATACAACTTTCATTTCGTTTTTTGCAGGAAGTGACATCACAGGTGACATACCAAGTATAATCACACAAGACATTTCTTGTTATTATTGATCTCCAAACAATAAAAAAAATAATAGGATGTCAACCCTCAATGATTTTCAATATAAAGGATTTTTCCAAAATAATACGAACGACAAAATATTCATTTAGTCCTATTTTATATTTGGTAACTTGTCACATTATTATTTCATCAGTAGACCAGAGGTGTAGCCAGGAAAGGGAGTATACATTCTCTTATATATTTTGTAAAAAACATTTATCTTTCATATAAATCAATTAAACTCTTTCTATAGAAGAAAGGGTCCACATTTTTTACAAAAAAAAAAGACATCCCACTCTGTAGTGCTGACTATGATATTGTGGTAGACATTAGTAGCATCTGCTTTACAAGATTCCTCACCAAAGAGAAATATAAAGCTGTAGATGGGAAAGATTTAATGAGCTGCTGTAACATATGAATGGGTGCTAAAATTTTACAGCTAGTCACAGATACATATCAACGATGATTCAAAGCCTGGTAAATTCAACTCTGCTGTAATCGATGAAAACATTTTAAAACAGATACTTCAACTCAATCTTTGTTTTTAGGTATGCAAGGAGCCTCTTTACAAATAGACTAAAATTGTACAGCTAGTCACAGATACATATCAATGATGATTCAAAGCCTGGTAAATTCAACTCTGCTGTAATCGATGAAAACATTTTAAAACGAATACTTCAACTCAATCTTTGTTTTTAGGTATGCAAGGAGCCTCTTTACAAATAGACTAAAATTTCACAGCTAGCCAGACATACATATCAATGATGATTCAAAGCCTGGTAAGTCCAACTCTGCTGTAATCGATGAAAACATTTTAAAATGGAACATTTTAAAACGGATACTTCAACTCAATCTTTGTTTTTAGGTATGCAAGGAGCCTCTTCACAAATAGACGTCAGCAGTGTTATGGGTCGGGCAATTTGAAATGGTGATAATTCATTACAACTATAATAGTTTTTCATTTCAACAGTAATCACATGAAGCAACATCAGCACACTGAACTACTGGTACACATTAGGACTTTTCTCACTCTCCACATTGTTTTTCCTACATTTACTACCCATGAAATTAAAAATACATAATGTAACGAGTGAATACCTCTTGATCCCAGGCTTATTTTTTGGTACAGTCTTGCAAGGTGGTGTGAATCAGTAACCTTCATTTTTGTTACCTATGTTGAGGCTGACGGGTCATACGAGGTCAAATGTTAAAAAAAATGGCATATTTGGCTATAGCACAAAGAGCTTTCTAAAATTAGTTTATGTTTACCGAAGCATTAAAAATAAAGTTACTGGTACTTTTATACCATTCTTCCTATGTGGGAGCCATTGGGTCAAATACTTGAAACCTGATAGTCTTATATCTTTATGGCACTAACATACTAGCCAATTTTCATCACAATTGGTAGAAGTCGGGTCAGAAACCTTCCTGAAGTGACTAATTTGACATGGACTAACCCTAATATAGGGTATTTATATTTTAATATATTAAAATTCAAAGTTGTTTCAATAATTACAGCATTCAAATGTATTCTTTTCAAATTTTGTAGAATTCTGACCTTTACCTTTTAGAGTTGTTCCTAAAGTGTAGCTACCATATCATGTGAGAGGAAAGGGGATACGTGTAGTAGGTCTATCCACAAACTTCATTAAATAAATCCTTAGAAAATGAGAAATTTTTACCTTAACTTACATTAACGGATATATCTCGAATTAAACCTGCAATGTTTTTTAACAGTTGCTCACCTTTTTAAAACAGTCCATACTGTTCTACTTCATCAAATAAAAAATGTCATGTTGTTAGTTAATACTGTTATATATATCCGTATATTTTATCTGCATACATTATTTTTTAAATACAATACATGCATAATGAGAGAAAGAGAATACAGAACATACTGAAAGGAAAAAATCAAATTCAGTGAGTCATTATTCATGGAGCTTCGTTTTCTTAGAATGTTGAAAAGTATGGTTTGATAACTTTTATATTAGATAAAGGACTTCTAGTGTTTGTGAACACTACACTAACTTTAACACTGCACCTCTCATGTCTGTGTAGACTACATTAACATTTACAACAGAATATTTTTATAAATTCTATCATGGCAGAAAATCAAACAACAAGTAGTCAAATGCGAGTGTTAAAATAAAATTGACCTACAGCCCAGATCACTTAATGAATGTACAGCGCCACCTCATGGATCAAACTACAGCTATATATAAATCTCAGCTAAACACACAAGCCAAGGAAAGGGAAGTAATGGTCTCAAAATTTTGTTATCTAGTAAACTTTGAAGACTCCGATTATTTCTGCTAATATTTTAAAAACACATTAACAAATAAAAATATTCCTTAAATGCAGAAAAAACACATCACGATAGATGGTACACTTTTTTATTGAACTTTTAACATAAGCACAAAAAGTTTGAGGGACTGTAGCAATATTTACATGTCAACAGAGAGAACTAGTGCCACATAAAACAACAGTATTTTTACCCTGAAATACACACACATATGCCAAAATATTTACTGTCGGTGAAATAGAACATCAGTACAAATTGATTTTGAAACCTGTGATTAAAACCAAGCTCTTCATGTAATTAGTACAATCATGCTTGTTGAACTGAAGCATCTAAATGCAAATGAGATAAGATATCTAAAAGAAATCTACAGTTTGCAATCAAATCATGCATTACTTTAATCAAAATGAGATGTCAACAAATCTAATGTTTGAAAATGTCTAAATGTACATATTATCCATTGTATGAGAGGTCTTGACACAAGGCCACTGTAACATTAACGATAAAAACTCTTCATGAAATAATATACTTTTTTGTTGTTGCACAAACTGAAAAATTTAAGCATTTTCATTAACTCAGTAAGGATAAAATTGATGTCTTCTGTCTCTCATTAAAGGAGAATACCTTTTTGGAGGAGGTGATCCATAATAATGTGAAACTTCTCTTGCTTCCCACCCAGGCCTCTCAACATAACTATTGTGATGATAATGTGGCCTCCTTGCATAATAATCATTGTGTGCATGATATCTGTCTTTATGGTCATAATAGTCTTGTCTGTATTCATAGCGTTCCACTGCTCCTGGTGGTATCACCACAGGTTCCTCCTCCCACCTCGGTCTGTCAATAACATTTCCACGATCTTGACGATAGGACTGGATGGTCTGAATTCTTGATCCCGATTCATAATTACCAGAACTGGTTTCCAGAGCTGGAACATTATCATAATTATGTTGTAATGGTCTTCTTGAGTAAAGAGTTGGAATTGAGGATGTCTGTTGCCGATCATCACTGTCAAAGTAATGGTCATCTCTCATATAATCCTCTCTTTGAGTAGCTACGTCTGGTTGTTTCGGATCAACACTGCCTAACGACGGTCGTTCTCCTTCGGTGTAGTCTCTATGTGTATACTTGTCTTCCTCTGTAGACACACTAATCAGTGGTTTAACAGTCTGTATTCTGGAAACTGAATACAGCTCATCATGAACATGAGACATATCACGTTGTTCAGTCGTGGTTGTTGAATGTACAGTTTCAACAATGGGAATTGGGGATGATGTTTGCAGTTCTTTCTTATCAGTTTTTCCTGGCAGGTTGTTTTGAATACCACCTTCAAGAAAAGCACTCGAAAGGGTTTTCAAAATATCTCCAACTGAAGTTGCTGCACTGATTTTATCAGTTAGGCTACTGATTGTTTTACTCTCAGGAGAAGTGACAACACTTTTCTCCACAGTTTTGTTAGCCGAGACATTATGGTCCGTTTTATCATGTGGACTGAAAGAACCTCTGTCCACACTTTCCTGGGTACTGTGTAATGACACAACACTTGACAACTTAGAAGTGAATGAATTCTGTGGATCATGTCTAACCTCTACCAGGCCAGCTTTAGATTTTGGACTATTGCAAACACTTTCATCAAGGCAAACAGGTTTAATTTTATTTATGCCAAACTCTGCAGACATGTTTGGTTCCTGTTCTACCTTTCTGCCAGAGTTTATTGATGACTGGCTATATATGCTGTTTTTGTCTTTAGCATATGATGTTCCAAATTCTTCCTTTGCACTGGAATATTCCAGAAGCTGTTGAGGTGTTTTTTCATCATTCTGTCCCCCACACACTTTCTGTGAAACAGGTGCAGCACTTTCGTCATCACTTTCATCAAGATCCATGTCTTGTGGCTCCAGATCCTCCACGGATGGACCAATCTCCATCTTAACACCAGTTTTATCCTGTGAAGAAAGAGGTAAAGTAGAAAGGTCACTTTTTCTCTGATCCTTCAACACATCACTAGTTCTTGGAGCGTATGGAAAAACTAAACTGTCGCCCATTGTACGTTGTTGTGAGTTCAACAATGTGCTGTTTCCCATATGACTCAAGGATATATTCTGAAAGAAGTCTGTTACTGAAGGTCCTTTACTTTCTTGAATGCATTCTTTAATGTCATCATTAGCATATCTTGAGCTATCTGAATGGTCACGTCTTTGCTTCTGTGACAACCAATTATTAGATTTATAGCTCACTGTAGTAGATGGAAGAGTTTGACTGTTTTTAGTGTTACTTCTAGAATCTATAAACCAAGTGTTACTTGTAGCCAGGCCTGGAAAATCAGGAACCGTATGCTTTTGATCAGCTAAAGCTTTAAAGAATTTATCAGCTGAGTCCACATGATAGTTCCCTACAGGTTGTTTCATTGAAATTGAGCTACTCTCTCCTTCATCTTGAACTGGTGTTTCCCGACCACTTCCTTCATCTTTCAGTGGTGTTCCTGACCCTGTATCTGGGGCTTCATGAGCTGAAGATCCTCCACTGGCCGGGTCAAAACTTTGAGGTGGTGGAGAATTAGTACTGGAGCTCCCATAAAAAGGAGTTGAAAACCCTCTCTTCTCCTGTGACCCAAAAATAGTATTCTGTATGATGTTAGAAAGGTTAGATAGCCGACTTTCTAAGCTACTATGACTAATTTTAGGGTCTGGGTAGGTAGGTTCTGTAGTAGTGCTTTGCGAGGCTGATGAGTCAGATTTCAAAGTCCCCAGTAGTGATATCATTTCTGATCCTAAGCACATAAAATAAGAAATAAAACAGTGATATCGAAATGTAAACAATCATACATAAACAATCAAATAACACTACCACATTGGCTGACAATTTTCCATAATTCAAATTACAAAAGTAATCGTATTTACACTTGTGTTCTACCCAGAAAAATCACAACATAACCCGACTTTTATCCCAGTAGCCTTACAACAAAATTACTATATTAACTGTCATTTAATTTTCTAATTTCTTTGACCAATTTACCAAGCAATCTAATGCCTAATGACTAAAATTTCCTTAATCAAATTACTACAGTTATTGCTTTTTTATTTATCAATGTACACTCTCCAAGAACTGTTGCAACTACCACATCCTTCTCCAAATCATCTCAATCAAATTACCAAATAATGTATCCTCTTTTTTATGATCTTACAAATTAAATTCCACATTAATTGCAATTAAGCATCGAGAACTTCACAGGTTACCGCATATATGGTCTTTTATCTTATTGCATTCACAAACAAGTTACCACATGAACTGCCTGTTACAGGCTCGGGTTGAATTGAACCCAAACTGATCTTTATAATTTCCTTGCTATAACTTCTAACATGTTTTGTGTAGCTTCACAAGCTTTCAATAAACATTACGAGTCTTTTTTACACAAAAATCATAATGTTTATTCAAGTATTCTCACTAAAAATGTCTCCATGAACATATGGAGTCAAAGTGTTGACTGCTCCAAGTGTAAATTGATTTTCATTTTAAGGTTATAAAAACTTTTTTTTTTCTGAAAATTGTCATTTGCATAATCTCTAAAACCTCCTAAATAAAATTAAAATGTTTTTTTTGTCTGTTATTTTCTCTACCTAACTTTTTTTTCTTTCTATAATGGCTTCAAATTGTAACAGTAAACTAAATTTGTTTATCTTTAACAACTTAAAACTCATAACAGTATACACCTGTTTCTACTTGAATTCTATTGTTTCATTGCCCTTGGAACTGTGTCTGACTAATAGTCCCACCACACAAGTTATAAATCACTCAGAGAATGAGAAATTTGCAGTGGGGAGATCCAGATAAATTCCCAGACCTCATCAGTTGCTTGCCGTATTGGAGACAGAGCAATGAGTAACAACATAAACCTATGTTGAAAAGCCAGCAAGCACGAGCCAGGGAAGCAGGCAGAGCACTCACTGATGCTGGCTTTTTCCATGATAGTCCATGGAATAGGTACAGTCTGGATCAGACAGTCGACAGATATCAAAATATACCATGAGGATACCACAAGTAGTCTTGCAGAACATCCCATTTCAACACTGGCCTTTGCATAAAGCCAAGGTTGATGATACAAGCAGTTTTTGTTATCCTGGCTCGATGCCAAATTTTGGGAAGTGTACCCTGGGAGGCAATACCAGTCACCTGGTAGGATCCTTTGTATCAAAGCTGTGAAAAAAAGGTGAATGTACTCACCTGACTAAGGATGAGGAGTAAACTGGAGAAGAGTGAATGAAGGCAGGTGGTAGCCCACATGACATGAGACAGCCAGATGGTGAAGATAGTGGGTGACAAAGGTGCGAGATGTAGTCCACATGGCAGTCCAGAGGATCTCATCAAGTGGCCATCAGAAAGGAGAGGCGAGGGAATGGGTGAGGTGATGTATTTGATGAGAAGAAATATGAAAAAGTCTGTGGGAATTGACCCTCAATGAAGAGTAGACCAAACACAGCAGTTGGTAAACCCAGCCTTAAGGGTAGATGTAGACGGAGAAGAAGAATCCCAGAGAAGAAACAAGCAAAGCTGCACCCCATCCTGAGAGGGAAGCAATGGTGAAGAGGCACACCTATAGTAGTATAAGTGCAGTCCAGCCCACCAAGAAAGGTCTATGAGCAGAGGAGAGGACAGGAGAACCATGGAATCCAAAAGTTCCCATGAATGGTTCCACTGGTTGCACAAAACCACTGAAGGAGGTGCATTGGCATGGCCCAATGGAATAAGCAGTCCCAGGATAGCCATGGTCCCCAAAATTGATAGAACCTCATGAGCAGTATGAGTAGGAGAGGTTCACATCCTGGGGACAGAATGTTCCAGAGGAAGCAGTTGAAAAACATACCCAGGTGAACAAGGTACTGGGTGGGATTAAGAAAGGATTTGGAAGTTAGGACAAGCCACTTTAAATGAGCAGCTTCCCACAGAAGAAGAGGGGTATGCAGGTAAGACTCCTTCCACAAATGTGACAGAAGAAGCCAATCATCCATGTATTAAATAAATCATAGACTAAGTCTGAGCAGATGGCATGTGAAGGCCCTGATGACTGTTGAAAACATAGATGGCCAATGCAATGTCAAACAGAAAAGTCCTGAACTTGAAAATATGATCCCAATGAACAAATCAAAGGAAATGTCTCAAAGACTCTGGGATGGGAATATAAAGGAACACATCCGAGACATCAACCTTGGTCATCCACAGTCCGGGTGAAAAGTACCAGTGGAGGGAATAGAAATTTTCCATATAAAAATGAAAGATGACTATGTAGTGAATGAGAGAAGATACGGTCATTAACCAGCCGCCAATCTCAGGTCTTCTGGAAGACCACGAAGAGCTGAGAGCAAATCCTAGACATGAGTTTGTGCATCCTCTCTATGATCTGTTTGTGCAAGAGATCTGGCACCGCATCTTCCAGATGTTGAAGGTAGATGGGATGGGATCTGAGGGATGAGGGAAGTGAACTGTGTGTAGGCTGAGAGGCAGAGGGGAGGAGAAGTGGTGGGAAAAGCCATGAAAGAGGACAAGTGTGACTCATCTGTCTGAGGATGGGTGTTCCCAAAGATGTGCATATCACAGCAGATGAGCAACTACGAGGTCCAAATCCACAAGGTAGTCACCAACAAGCCTGGAAAGACTGACATCAGTCCAAAGACTGTTAAGTAGAAGGATAAGGACAGGAAGAGGGGAAGGAACTATAGGAAGCAGGAGGACTAAGACAAGACAAAGGAGTGGAATGTGGGGGTTGGGACAAGTGAGTAGCCAAGGAAGTTAGTGAGGATTGATTCCAAGCAGCCTCCACCCATGATTCATTTGGATCAGGAATACCACCAAAAACAGAAGGGTGAAGAAATGGGCGAGGTGGTGGCTCCTTAAAAATGAGAAGGGAAGACAGACACTGGAAAGAAAGGTATCCCTACCCAACAAGTCCCAATGACAAATGATCCAAATGAGTAGTACAAGCCATGCTGGAAAGGAAAAGGGAACAGGAATTGTCAGTGAAGTCATCTGAGGCTCAGTGAAGTGGCTCTGACATGAGGTGCATGGAGTAAAGGTAACAACACACAGAAAGGACAATTAGGTGAAGGCAAGAGAATTGAGCAGTGGAGAGTGAAACTGACCCCAGTGGGTCTCCCCCCAAACAGGTAAAAGATACTCCAAGGTCTGTGACTCCAAAAAGGGGAAGTTTGAATGACTATAGTCCAGGACAAAGGGATCTGAAAGGGAAGTAGCTGAACACCAATATCAGGTGAATGGGAAAAAATAGAAAACTCATTAGAGTGAGGGTTGTGAAAGAGGAATGGAAAGTATCATAAGACACAGGAACGAGAGATACTACAGAACATATCTGAGAGATAAGGTCCCAATAACATGAGAAAGTCTGAACATTTTCCTCAACAGGGAGAGAGGTTCCTAAACAACAACCAGAAGGAGAAATTATGTAGTGAGTTTTCTTTCTCATCATATTCCTTCTCAGAATGAGGGAAAGGCACGTCATACGAATGGATGGATACTGAAACTTCCAGCTGCATAGGAAACCCACTATCCTATGCACAGTGGCCATCACATCATCCACATTTAATGTGCCTCCAGTACCCAAGTTAGAAATTTGACTAGTGTGAGGATATTCCTCACTCCCTCCAGATGTTGAAACAACATGAACTTGAGAGTTCATAGTTGGAATAAATAAAGGAAACAAAGTTCCTTTATCAGACTCCAAGTCTCTGAAAGTTAGGAGCAAAAACTAACACATCTAAGTCATGCAGTACTAAGGAAACAGATTGAAGATCACAAGTACAAAAGCATGGAAGGAGGTTGTGTCACCCTCCTATTGGTGGAGTGTTTTTGCTGCATAATACAGTACACCACCAATTTTCTGGCAACCGATGGTCCAGCACCTCCTTTAATCCGAACAAAATTATAAAAGTGCACTTGAAATTCCCGTGACTGCCAGACTACTTCACTGGACGGCCACAGATGGCATTGTGTGTGGTGTGCACTCTTTTGGGACGGGCTACTTACATTTTAAGTAGGTACATCACTCTTGTGAAAATTTTCTTATAAATATTAAACTAGTGAGTACAAGAAGTGTAATTTTTCTCATCTCTGTTCAGGTGGTATGAGAAGAAAAGATGAAATGTAACAAAGAACAGGATGTTCTTATCATATTTCACTAATGTATAGCCCGTCAAAAACGACAGGTTAAGTACTACCAACCCCACCCTCATAGTATACCCTAACCTCACATTTCATAGCTAACTGAAATAAATAAAATTTGGCAAAAACAAAGAGGCAGAAAAGTGCAGTCGAGGCAGTCAAACATCGGTAAATTCCTTTGTGAACCAATCAAAATTAAGATCATTCATGAAATTAATTCATGGTGTATTCATAAAATAATTATTGGCAAAAATCAGTTAGATTGACAACTTCTAATATACAGAAAAGCCAGTGCATTTTGTTAATTTAGTCTCCATTGATTAAAGAGGATTATTTTTTATTAAAAATGTTGGTGATATAACAGAAAATAGTTTAATTCAGAAACGATTTAATTTTAAAACTAAATCGATTTTTTTTACTTTCATGATAAATTTACTGCACTTGGCTCTAGGCTAGGTTTCATGGCACCCATCCCCATCACTAAAATTGTAATGGGCAGATATTAATCAAACTATTCTATCTGGATAAATATATTTTAGATTTTATGACTCCTCCTATTTCGAGAAATCAAGCGTGACGTGACATACACAGGCTTTTATATGGGTTAGATAGCTCTAAAGAACTACAGTAGCTAATTTTACAGACTTGCATTTTGCCACAATAACTAATAAATTATGAACCCCCATTATCTATTTTTAAAGAAACTGGGGTCCTTGTATGTTATGGGTTACCTAATAACATAAGCCACACAGAGAAATGTAAGCAAAAGTAGCATGAATTTGAAAATTTTTTTCCCATTAATTACGGTTGGAAAAGTGATTTAAGTTTTTTTTTCTTTCCACTCAGTGTTGGAATAAGTAAAACTCCCAATGGTAGTATCTAAAATAAAAACAACTCAATAACGTAACGGTTAGTAACACAAATTTGTCTTGTAGAAACTAACCTTTTGACATAAAACTGCTTAACCCTGTAGCTTCCAGTGGTAAATTAGCAACAGAATTTACTTCCGAATTCAATGGAGACAAAGCTGGAACAACAGGAGAATTTTCTGGAGAGGGAGCTGATCCAATAGAAGCAGGTTCTTCAAGTTCTGCATTACCTACATGTTAAACAGTATTTATTAGTTGCATCATAGCGACAAATGCCACGAAGACAAAGAAACAAACTCACGAACAGCCAGATACTTTACCTTTTTCATCTATTATCTAATATCACATTGACTTGAAAACTAGTATTACTAACCATATCAATTTGTTTTAAACAAGAGTCTACAATCATTTTCATACAAAAAAAAATGTCAGCCACAGTGGTACCAAATGTTATTGAACAGAATATCAATGACAGTAAAAAATGAAAATAAATCTGGGGTAATAATGCTTCTACAAACTACTCGTTCCAACATTAACACTTCAATAGAGTAGAAAGCAACAAACTTCATCACCCCTAGCTGTACAGTAAAAAACACACATGTAGTCTTTAACATCAACGTCACATCACAAACAGTAGCGCTGGGTAATTTGTGGAATTTAACTGGTTAATTGATAAAATTATTAATCAATTACATTGAACTAATTAATGATTACACCATAAAATAAAATAAATTTATAGTCTTAACAATTTGATTTTGATTTTTAAATTACCTGGATTGCAGGAATAATCTAAACTACTAATAATTAGAAACCCTAATTTAGGTTACTTGATTATTTTCATAAGATACGACACTTACCAAATAAGCTGAACAATTTTTTGAGTTAATCAACAATAGTAACAAAAAATCATAATAGTTATATTTCAATTACTGGATAGTTGGAAAGACTGGCAACACTGTTTTCAACAAGTTAGTCATTTTAACAACATTAATCATAATATTTAAAATCAACTGTTTTTATGTTTTCACAGAAGTTTGATGTACAAAATACTGATTAATTTTGATCATTATTATGCAAAGCTACTTTTTTTTTCTGTCTCTAATAAGGTAATTAAACTGGGACTTTTCATGGTGTTTTTGTGTGATAAGTATAATATTATACCACTTCCTGTATGCTTGTGAGTGTTTGTATTAATATTTTACATCATTGAACTATTTATGTATGGGCTCAGGTTAGCATAATTATGCTGTTATTTAAGTGATGTTTGGTTGGATAACTGAAGTTTCTTTAACTGAAGCACTGTATTAGTTTACAATACTTAGAAACAAAAAATTCAAAAATATACAGCCTAAAAAAAATGTCACTATTAATAAATCCTAAGTTCGAGCAGTAAAGTCTAGGACTTGAGCTTCGTAGCTTATGTAATGGAAAGATTAGTTTTTCTACACATTATTCTTACTTCTAGCATGACAGAAACTTCTAATTGTGTACATCATGTAAAATTTATTTGTTAATGTACTCATTCATTATGAAATTTCCCTCACCAGTAGTACAAAATTCTGTACCTGTGGGAACTCTGTTATAGGAGGTTTAGTTCATTCAGGTGTGCCACTATATGCAACACACTATTAAGCTTGGAACAATGGATCACATAAATGATGTTGTAACATCAAAATGAATGTAACATTGAAACAGCACAACACTTTTGATATACTGCTGCAAGATCAAATCAAAATATGGATCACTGCTGAAGTCAACTTTTGTCAAGGGTCAGGTTCTCAGCCATCACACTCTCCTGACCTTAACATATGGTTATAGGGATTTCTGAACACCTCAAAGGAAATGTCTTGAGAACAAGTTTTACGTACATTGACAGTAGCCTTGAGGACCTCCACAAATTTCTCACCTACAAGCATTGTTCATAATAGGTTCTACAATGTTTAGCTATATTCTGATGACAAATCAAGAATAGAAAGGAACTTTAAAACTATTATTTTGGCCATCAACCCAAACATTACTCTTCTGTACAACTGAATATATATAAACTTAATAAATTATTTGTTGCTGTGGCAATAGTTCAAACTCTTCCTCTGATTACTAGAACTTCCTACCTTATTGTGGCAATAGTTCAAACTCTTTGTCTGATTACTAGAACTTCCTACCTTATTGTGGCAATAGTTCAAGCTCTTTGTCTGATTACTAGAACTTCCTACCTTATTGTGGCAATAGTTCAAGCTCTTCCTCTGATTACTAGAACTTCCTACCTTATTGTGGCAATAGTTCAAGCTCTTCCTCTGATTACTAGAACTTCCTACCTTATTGTAGCAATAGTTCAAACCCTTTGTCTGATTACTAGAACTTCCTACCTTATTGTAGCAATAGTTCAAGCTCTTCCTCTGATTACTAAAACTTCCTACCTTATTGTGGCGATAGTTCAAGCTCTTCCTCTGATTACTAGAACTTCCTACCTTATTGTAGCAATAGTTCAAACTCTTCCTCTGATTACTAGAACTTCCTACCTTATTGTAGTAATAGTTCAAACTCTTTGATTACTAGAACATCCTACCTTATTGTGGCAATAGTTCAAATCCTTACTCTGATTACTAGAACTTCCTACCTTGTTGTGGCAATAGTTCAAACTCTTTGTCTGATTACTAGAACTTCCTACCTTGTTGTGGCAATAGTTCAAGCTCTTCCTCCGAGTTAGTTGGTGATGGAGCATCAGGACAGGGTGATGGTATTGGACTTGGAAGAGTTGGTGTTACTTCTTCAAGTTTCTTTTTCAGAGCTTTTACCCTGTTTCCAAAATTTCTGTAAGCCTGTAGTTAGCAATGAAATATTATACTGACAGTTATTTCTATGGTATTCTTTGAAACAAACAAAATAACATAATTGTTTTTTTTTTCAATATTTATACACCACTATTCTCAGTAAACAACTTTTTATAGTTAAAAATTACTGAGATCATTACTAGTAGTAAACAATACTTCAAAAATGAATGGTATCAAGGTCCGATATCAAGTTGAGATAATAGATGCTTTTACCTTTTATTAATGAATTTTAAACCAAAAATGACAACGTTTATATAGCAGTATTAAAACTCTATGTTAGTTACAAATAAAAGTTCAAAAGCTTCCGCAATAACCTCATTAGTGCAGAAAATAAAATTCACAGTATAAGAAGTGCAAGTTATTTTGTTATTAACAGAAATATATATCTATGTAAATCTTAAGAACATATGTTGGCATGAATTTGTTTTCTACTTAAGTGAAAGGCAATTACAGGATAGCTGAGCTATACGTATCCACACTTGCAAGAACTATTATATTTCTAACAGAACCACATCAATATACCTGAACATACAACATTCTACAGATTCCATCAGGAACCAAGAAAATGTATCGTTATTAGGGAAAAAATGAATTTTTCAGCAACTAGTAAAATACTTTAAACATGTACTATAAGGTTAAGCATTCAATTTTAAACTCTACAACATTTTCCTGAGTAATTCAAATCAGCTACTGTAAGGTAATAAAGCAGCTTTGTTTTGTTATTTTCTAAAGACAGATAATATACACAAGTTAAACATGATAAATTATAACAATACATTTTCACTTAACAATGTAATAATAACTGTGCTGTAATTTAAGTATTATAATCAGGGGTAAAGTAACAGCGAGTACAGTCCACAATCAGAGTCATTCTCCGAAGGGAGGGATGGAGAAGAGTAGGAAACGGGTTAGTGGACTGACCCTACATTGGAGAAGTAATGTTGACAATTATTCCAAATTTGGGAAGTGTTTCTTCACAAAATGTGGCAAACTTGTAGTCAACAATACAAATCTGCTTTACACAAAAAATTAGATGTGTTACTAAAATTTTTATACTAAAGATTTGTCTGTGAAATGCTGAGGTCTGTCTGACTCAGACAAGTCAGAGTAATAGGTGATATTAATGTGACGAATAAAAATACTTTTGTTCATTGTACAGTTTGTGAATTACATTTGCATAACCTCTACAACTTCCTAAATACATACATAAAGTTCTTCAGGATCCCTCTAGAATATCTAGCATTTTTTTCTACTCTTACAGGCTAACATTAAGTGTTGATAACACTGACATCAAATGCATAATACTATATTGAATGGCACTCTGTACAAAGTCAGGGGATGCACATTTGGACCCCCCCCCCTCCAGTGCACACATCTTTAACTTTAGACATGCTTTTGGGAGGTTATGTAGAGGTTATTCATATGCAATTTGCAAACTGTACAATGGTTTTCAGATACGGACTATTTATTGAACATAAACCTTTAATAATGTCACGTACATTTTGTCTGTGGTACAGGACAGAGAAAGTAAACACATCTCATTTTTCATGATTCTAGCACTGCCTGGAACTTATTTCACAAATGACAATTAGTCACATTCCCTTGCAGGAAAGAGAGCTCAAAAGAGAAGGTTAACTTTTCTGTCAATGGATTATGTAATGGCTCAGGGTTCCCACATCCTTATGCTTGAGTTGTAGTGAATGAAGTGTTGAGGAATAATGTGAACAGCCTGAATTTGTGTGTTCCATACTAAAAGCCAAGTTCTTATTTGTTTAGCAGGTTTTTCTTTATTCAAACTTATACGAGACTTTCAGATTGTAGTTAAACTTTTTGAACTGAACTCCGTGTATAACTTTGCTTTTATTTTGGTTCTTTTTTCACTTTGTTTTATTTTACTTTTGGGTTTTACCTTACAGGGGGCATATACTGGATGGTGAGAGTGAACTCACTGAGATTTCACTTCTCTCTCTCTTGCCAGTCCAACTGACTCATTACACAACATGCTAGTTCATCCCACTCACTAAAGACACATTTACCCATTTTTGTGGTAATGTATTGTGATTTAGTTATGTTATTAAAAGCTGCTGTTGTGCACCTTTTGAAGAACTAATCAGATACACATACTCTGTTATTTTATTTGGTATCCTTCGAACCTCCAGCTAACGAACCCTCATTACTGTATGTGTACCAGAGAATAACTGTGTATATTTTTATCATCAATTTTCGGCTGTATTTTCATCTGAAAATAACCACAACAAAAATGGGCTAGTTCTAATATGGCACCGATCTATCGACCACAGCCAAGCCTGATTTAAAAAGACTGTTTCCAGGAATTGTATCAAAGGTTTTCCATGGCATATGCAAAAGAATTTCATTTTCAATCTCCACTCTTGAATTAAAACAAATAAAATTAAAACCAATTTAAAGAAAGGACAATCACTACTTTAATTTAAAGCTACGATGGAAAACATAAACCGTAATAAATCAAACATTAAATTTGAATACCAAAACAGATACTCAAAGTTAGCATGGTGCACTAATTAGACTTACAAGCAGCTCGGATTAGCACTATTATAAAATATTTGAAGGAAAAGATTTTAAACATGTCTTTTTTTTTGTGTGTGAACAAAAAAAGCTGATAATCAGCCAGGAACATTTTAAGTCATAAAAAACTTTCACAGCTTTGTTCGTTAACTCTTTATGAGTGGCTACAGATATTTTACCTTTGTGAACGTTTCAGTCTGTAGATATCTTTTATTTATTTTCTCTCTAACCAACTGATGAGTAAAAATCCATATATCAATAGAGAAACTTACATTAGTAACCAGCCTTGCTTCACCTCTCTGGGTTTCATAGTAGACTCCTCCCTGCTCCAGAACCAAAATTAGTTCTGTTCTTTCCTTTACTTCTTTCTCCAGTGCTCTGATATAATCTTCTAAGCATTTTACAGAGGTGTCAAAATCTCTTGAAAATTGCTGCCCATGTTTTCTGTCTGTTATAAAGTAGTAAGTAATTCTTAGGAAAAAATGATAATAGAAACTTCATGACAAAAGAAATCTTTTATCTATGTTTAAAGTATAGATTTTTTTTTCTAAATATGTTACATATAATGCAAATTTTTACCCCTTGAATTAACCCCTACACCAGACCTTCTATAACTTTTGATTATAAGTTTCATCTTGCAATAATTTTCTGAAGTGAG